TGATTCATTGTTTTATTGTCACCTTTAATCAGTGACAATTTTGTTATAAATAAACATATTAGACATTGGATAATGCTAAGTGTTGTTATTATAAATTAGATGACTTGAATTAACGTCTCTGTTCATACCTTCTTCTACTTTACTGCTGATCTTCAAGGAAATCTTTCTTGGATTATTTTTCCGTGAACTAATCTCCGAAATTGTCACTAGAAGTTCCGATTTATCTTGTAAAATGAATTTACACCAATGGTAATATATTAATGGATGGAGGTGATGGTTTTGTTATTGATTTAAGAAATAAAATCACAAATTAAACACTTAACAAAAATGCTTACCTTCACAAGTGAATTTTCTGTGATCAAAATACCCAAGAGAAATTTAAAATTGTTTGGTAAAAAAGAGAGTTGTAGCCAAATGTTTTATTTGGTAGAATGGAAATGGGACATATAAATTAGGCTTAAATTCTCAATCCATGATAAGCAAGATCTATTATAAAAAGATCCATGAACTGTATATCAGAAAATAATAGAGAATCAATAAAGAAAAGAATAATGAAAATACAGGATAGAATGATCAAAGATGGTAATGCTCACCAATGGCTTCCCTTGCAATTGATTGTTCCGGTGGTCCTTTGTCTTCTATACCATATACTGTTATGAATAAGTAACCTTTATATTTTAATATTTATAAATATAATTAAAATCATTATATTTTTCTCTTTATTTGATCAAAATAAATAAACATTCTTATCTTTTTGTTTTTATTTAATCTTTTCCTTGAATGTGAACATATTTGTCTCCAATGTTATATTATGCCCATTACATTATTTATGCAATGAATTTGATATAACAAACAATTGCATCACCTCAGTAAATAAATAATACCAAGACCATGCATAAATAAAATTTAAAGTTAACAACCAACATTTATAATACTCCTGCCATTAATTTCTTGTGTACTGTAAGTGGTATAAATGGATGAACATATTATCAGTTGATTACCACTTGGTGCTGCGAGTAATGTTGATTTTACTTTCAAAAAAAACTGTTTATTAGATTAATTTTCATCAAAATTGTGTTAATCTAATATAAGTATTATATATATAATTTATATATAATGTGCTGACTATCCTAAACACTGTTTGTACGTGAAAATATACAAAATATATACAAAATTTTTTTGAAATTTTCTTTGACATAAATTTTGTCATCACACATTTCCCAGTTCCCCAGAGCATACATAAAATCAAAACCGACTCCTCAACACCTAACCGACAAGATGTCTCGTCAATTCCAACTCTATTGCACACACATATAGGGGCAAGCAAACAAGGGACGGATTTCACTACTTGTCATCGTATTCTCAGCATCCTGAATAATGAAACTTCCAACTTTCTGAATTTACGAAGAGTGATTATACTACTTTACTTTGTTATAACCAGGACTAGTGCCGCCCTTTTGCAGTCCTGGACTTTCTCATCAACTCTTTAAAGATGGAATTGTGCAAGTTAACTGACTTGTACCAAAAAAATAAACTTTTTCAAAATTATGTGGGGTAATTATACTACTATACTTCGTATCAACCAGGAATAAGTTCCACCCATTAACATCCTGGACTTTTTCATAAAATCTCCAAAGAATAAATCAATAGTACAAGCAACTTGCGTCGAAAATAAAAAATAAAGGAATGTTTTGAAAAAAAAATTTTTTACACGCGACATAAAAATTTTAGTCTATTCTTTCCTAATATGAAAATGAAATTTATCACATGACAAATAAAATTTAAAAAGAAAACGTTATTAATTTTCATTCTTTATATTATCACTAAAAAATATATGATTCCGAAAAAATGATTATATTCTACTCTCCCTATATATAACAAGCCTTTCTATGGTAAAACTCCACCACAACAAACTTCTCTTTTGCTATGATTAATTTCTCTCAATAATGAACATTACTATAGTGAATGAAGGCACAAAAAATACTTATATGACAAGTAGGTTCATTATAGAGAGTGAATTGTATTTTTATATTTTATATTAAAAAAGTTAATTAATATAAAAAAAAAAGAATTTAGTATAAACATCATATTGGAGCAGAGTGTAATGATGTTAAAGAAATCTAACTCCGTCAGTCACTTCTTTGTATAAACAAATTATTCTGGACTGCAAATACTAGTATGGACTAATTCTAAAATGCTAGAATAATCTATAAAGTCAAATCCATAAATTTCAGATAATGTAGAATGGACTATTCCATTGCCTAGTAAAGGTAAGATATAAATAAGGAATATGGTTCAAATCTATGGTCCAATAATGATGTAAAGGCTGAATTGATTATGAAGAGAAGAAAAATAAAGGTGAATTAGTGGAAAAGATATAAGATCAAAATTAAAGGTATGTATAAAACTCTGAACAAGTTGAACTTTAAAGCAATTCGATTTAAAAAAAATGGATTTGATTTGATTTGAATCAAACAGATTTTTAAATTGATATTATTATTATATCTTAAGAATTTATGTGCTTATACTAGAATAAGGCAAACCCAGTCAACAAATCCATTCACCTATATAACAATTATGTACAGAATAGGTGCTAACTAATATTGAATAGATGGGAAATGAGTACATATGGAAAACCATATTTTTGATATGGAATGTAGAAAAATGCATTTGATATAAAATATATATGGAGAAATGCACTTTCCTTACCTAAAAATATGGAACTAGCATGGGATATTTTTGGTCTGGAAAATAAAAAAGGACCATAATGTGAAGACATTGCAAAGAGTTTACTATTGTTTTTGAAACTTTAAATAACAATATCTCAAAATGTTGCTATGCAAATTGAGTAGCTAAAAAGTTCTACATAAGGGTTACATATAAGAGTGGTCAAAGTTGCCTTTTACACATTTCATTCACAAGGTCCAATAGCAGATCATACACTATCCATCCAACTTTAGAATGAAAAATGATATTCAGATATAAAGATGATGCGAGCTAACTAAGGTTGTGGGAGAAACTCCTCCAGAAATCAATTGACAGAGTTTTGACAGGTTACACATTAATTGTTTATTAGA